AAAAATTCCTACTGTAGCTTGTATTGTATCTAATGAAAAGCAAAGATGAGAAAATGACAAACATGTTTATTTGTAATAAGTTGTTTCATAATACTCAGAATGTTTTAAGGCTGCCGAGATGTCATTGGAGCAAAAAGGGAACATTGAGAAAAGGGAGCTGGTTTCATCTGTTTGAAAAAGGGCACAATTCTAGATCTGCAAAGCTTATTTAAAGTGTATTATATACAAGAAAAAACACCAAGCATTATGTGTTCACTATAAATCAATCAAAACAAGACAAACGATCTGATGAAAAGTTCTTTTGTCACCAAAAATCTCCAGCGTTATTGTTAACTGTATTGGTGAAAATCATCATTAGTGACAATTCCGGAATCGTTCGTGGATTATTTGATCTGGTGTCAGAGATCTTTCATACGAAAAGATATTGCGGAGAAATAGGATGAAATCTGTAGATAAAGAAATTATGAGTCATGGACTTTTTGAGGGCAGTGAAACTAAACAAGAGCCCATAATGTTACAATATTCAAAGCTTGTGTTCAAATTTCAGTACACTATTTCAGTTTTGGATGAAAAGAAGATATGTGGTGCAATTCCACGTGTAGAGGATCCTGATATTTGTCCATTTTGAAAAAGAAAAATATAGCTAAGTGATACAGGAGAATATGTGCTGAAAAGGTTATTATAGGAGCAGATTATCTTGGACATTATTGTGGGAGAATTGAGCCATTGATAAATTTGGTCTATTAAACAACACTTGGATGGACGCTTCAAGGTAAACAAAGAATACGCAAATTTTGGAGTATTATATATGCTAAATTAGATGACAGAATTATGGAGCCTAGATGTCATCGTATAAGATGTCCTGCAGAAAAAGAAGGCAAACAAGAAGAAACGGTAGATTTTTTCCGTAAAACTATTAAAAGAAACAAAGACCAGGGGCGTAGCTAGAGGGGGGGGCAAGGAGGGACATCTGTCCCCAGACGCAGAATCCAAGGGGCGCCAAATTGATGTTACACTTTTAGATTAAATGTTTTCCATCCTTGGGAAGCAGTGGGGGGCACGAAATCTTCAGTTGCCCCTGGGCGCTGAAAACCCTAGCTACGACTCTGACAAAGACAAAAGATATGAAGTATGTTTGCCATGGAAAAGTGGACGTCCAGAATTAGAAACGAATAAAGAATTAGCCACAAACGTTAATGCAATACCAAAAATCTCATACGATCTGGACATTTAAGAGAATACGATGATGTGTTAAATACGATGATGATTTAATGATAAAGATGAGAAAAAGGGACACTATTTATACTGTGTTAGTTTTGGTTCTCAATGCATTTTGATTGGATAATTAATGCTGCTGTAAAATTACTATTGTCTGTTTTAGTTCCATTTACATCATCAGAATTACATAAGAGTCATATGACATGGATTAATCAAGAAATGGGGCAGTGCTGAGAGATTACTATTTTTAGAATAGAGAAGGAAAGTTGATTTATGTTGCTAATTTAATCTTTTATATATTCCTTTTTTTTTCCTTACTCAGACACATATATATAGTAATGGATTATTGAGGACATTATCTCCTTTGAGAAAGTTAGTAGAATTTTAGTTAAATGAAGTAACTTATAAGCATTTAAAACTGAATCTTGAAAATTTTAAAAAAGAATTATCAAATGTGATTCATGATAAAATTGAAAATGGAAACTTTTAAGAAATAAAAAAGTAATCAACAAACCAATTAATTATCATCATTGATCAGAAGTTGGTTCACTTTTCAAGGGGTTCAGCAATCCATTAGTAAATAAATTATTATTTTATTACTTAAGGATTTAATAAAATTTTACATTAATCTAAAATATCTGACATTAATTTATTGAAAACATTTGTAATTTTCTGTCTTTTTATCATCTTCTACTTGTATAAAAATATATTCGGGAAATGCCATTTATTAAAATTAAATTTGGAGGAAAGTTAAAATGTTTTTACCCTATTATTTTGAACATGAAAACTGGAACAACTGACTGCATTTAATGCTTTCATAATTATATTTCAGCCAAAATTAAATGTCATACATTTATTATTTTTAGAATATACGATGTCTGATTTTTTTCTTCTTAATCTGAAGAAATATGTGAGAGCCAAGTTAAAATTTATCTTATTAAATCTTACATATGATATATTAAAAATATTATTGAAAATGTATAAATAATTAATTGTGGAGGGAAATATTATGCATATTCTCATCTTACAATTTGAAAAGAACAGTGTTATTAGCAATTTCATTCTGCTCAAACGCTTTTTTTCCTCTCTCTCTCTAGGTGTAGTCAAAAACAGAGCTGTGGTATTGGTGTTTCAAGTACAATTTTTGGTGATCCATGCCCTGGTACATTAAAATATTTAGAAGTCCAATACCAGTGTGTTGCACGTAAGTCATTAATGTTCTTTAATATTTCAGAAACAAAAATTTTTGAAAACTGTGTGTGGTATATATGTTAAGAAGCTGGCTTTCAGATTTACTATTTAAAACAGAAACTGCAATGTAAAGAACAATGTTACTTTAGGTATATCTTATTTTATTCAACTTTTCATAGTTACAAAACAATTTTTTAAAACAAAATATAAACATGTCTAGTATTTTCATGCATTAACCTGCTGAAAAATTATCAGTAAAGACATAAAGTAAGTAATTTAGAACTAATTTTTCACAAAGACCAAAAAATTGAAATTCATAATTAAAAAATTTCAAATAATTTTTAAAATAAGAATTTTTAAAAATGTTAAAATCAGAACTTTTCAAACAAGCAATACCCCAGGGAAAGAAAAACGAACATAATAGAAGAGGAAGTCGATCAACTTCAATGCCACTTCGTCAGGAGGAGGAACATACATATCAGTTGAAATCCCTCTTCCACAAAAATCATTGCTTTTCTGTATCCAGAATTAGCCGATGAACCATTTCAATGTATTTTAATCATAATAGTTCACCCGAAAATTCTGGCCCCTCCCCAAAGCGAGGAAAAGAACAAAGTAAATTCCAATTAGAATCTCTTACTTTAAATAAAGAAAATTTTGATTAAACAATGAAAACATTAAGTGAAATAATAAAATACGTCAGTGATACGTTTTCAGTCTTTAACCAAAAATCTCTTTATTTAAAGTACAAGATTCTAATTAGAATTTACTTTGTTTTTCCCCTCCCTTTGGGGAGGGGCCAGAATTTTCAAGTGAACTATTATGATTAAAATACATTGAAATGGTTCATCGGCTAATTCTGGATACAGAAAAGCAAAGATTTTTGTGAAAGAGGGATTTTAATTGATTTCAATGTTCCTCTTCCTGACGAAGTGACATTGAAGTTGATTGACTTTCTCTTCTATTGGGTTAAAACATAAATAATGGCCCTTTTCTTAATTTAAAATTTTTTATTTTAACAAAACATAGAACAATAAATTAGTCAATAATATTTTAATTTTGGACTTTCCCCATAGACCTAAGAGGTCCAAACTACAGTCATTTGGCTACAACCCATTCACTCGGCTAATTCTTGAGTGGTTTGACATACATCTTTGTGCAGAAGTTGATGTTGATCCAAACATTCCTCATAAAACTCGTTTGGTCATCCAGAATGAGCAGCGTCTCTGAGGTCAAAATTTCCATTTTTTAATTTGGCAAACCAATTTGTTGCAGTTCATTCAGGCATTGCACCTTCTCCATATACTTAACAAATCTGTCAGGAAGCTTCTGCAGCATTGGCACCTCGATTAAATGCAAAAAGAAGGTGTTGAAAATGATTATTTTTGGCGACTTGACACTCTTTTAATGATCTGAAAAATAACAATTAGCTCAGGCAAAAAAATCAAATATGCCACCTTGCAGAGGAGAAGATTTTCTTTCGAATAACAGAAAACATTATGTCAATACATTTTATTTTTACCGCATACTTTTAAACACAACATAAACAGCCATTACTTATGTTTCAACCGAATATTATGTTCGTTTTTCTTTAAATTTCTTTAATTTTTTGAACTAGGATATTCCTTGTTTAAAAAGTTTTGGTTTTAACATTTTATAAATTCTTTTTTTTCCATTATGGGATATTTGAAATTTATTAATTATGCATTTCAGTTTTTGGTCTTTGTGAAAAATTAGTTCTAAATTTCTTACTTTATTTTATTCAACTTATATTATTCCTCAGATGTGGTATTGGTAATCAAATTAATAAAATGGGAGTGAAGATCCTTTGAAAAAAAAAAATCCTTTTTAGTGAAATATCAGGTAAAACTGCAATATTAATAAGTTTTGTGAATTGAATATGCAAATCAAAACTCTAACTTTAATTTGTAATAGTCCCTTAACTCTGCATTATAATTTGGTTACTGAACCTTTTTATGTTAAAAGTAATAACTGCTTATAATGAATTGCTCGAAACTGCATTATTTCAAAGTTAATGTATATCATATGATTCATACATCAGAGATTCTTATATAATGCTTTCAAATTTGGAAACTAATTAACTAGACACATAGTATTCCTACTGTTGCTTTGCTGTCCTGCAAACGTGTTGCCACTTACTTCTCTTTCACCAACTGTATCATCGTAATGATGTAAAAAGGTACAAATGTTCCTCTCTAGCAAGTTTTTAACAACTTTTTTAATAAAAACAAGTACAGTGTGCACTTTACACTATTTTGAAGTTATAAATATGCTGCTCCGGAAATAAAATGTCTTTATGTATTGTGTTGGTGAAGTTGGGGGGGGAGAAAGAATAGCTTCATTTTCTAATTCTTGAAATAATGTTTAAGAAATAATGTATTTGTTTTACTTAGTTAATTTTTTTTTCTAAATACGTATTTTAGTTGTTTGAGAAATTGTGCTCCATAATCATAAGTAATAATATATTTCTTGTTTTAGCTGGTTATTTTACGAGTACTACTAGAAAAACGTTGATCACAAATAGCTCTTCACCATCAGACTTTGACATCGCTCCTGACACTACATTAGGTACTGTCGTAGATATCTTAGGTGATCCTGATGTCACAGTTCCTGTCACAACCCCATCCAGTAGCAGCAGCTCTGCATCTCCCACAACAACCACACAGAAATATTCCCAACAAAGTATAAGCCTAGTCACATCAGCTTCAGAACCGTTCAGTAAGTATTATTCCTCATTACTTTTAATAATTTGGTTTTTCCAATTACATTACAGGTGCTAAAGCTCCTTGAATATCTGATTAGCCATAAAAATTTCATAAACTTTACTGTGTTTAAATGGGGATATATAAAGTTGAGGCAAATGATAAAGTTCAGTTTTGAATAATATGCTTGGGGTTAGTTAGATTGAAAAAGTTTTTCTTTAGTGCCTTAAAAGTCTACTCGTATAATTTTCTGGTCAACACACTTAAGATTAAACAGATTCCTACTTCGTGTCAGACTTCATGATAATTTAGGCATTTGTCAGCAGCAGTTTCTGGGCTAGACCCTACTGATTCTATATATTGTGTCCTCAAAGAGTGAGCAGTGTTTATATCGACATGGCACCACCAATAAATTAATAATTTAAATATATTATTTTTCATTTTGAATGCTTGATATCACTGCACATGTATGTATAGAAATTTTAAATGATAAAAGATTCAAGTAAATAAAATAATATTCTGTCTTAAATATTTTCTGGATTAGATTTTAAGTCAAATAGTATTTCGGACACCTTTAAAATTTCAAAATGTAGACTATATTTGATTAATCATGAAAAGGTTGCATATTTTAGCAATTATTATTACTATTTTTTTATTTATATAGAAGTAGTTAAAATGAATTGAATGTGGAAATTTTATTTTATGTTCACTAGCTGAACCAGCAACAACTATACGTACAAGTACTGGACCAAATGCACCTCCAAATCATTGTCCACCAGTTCTCATAAGTGACATCCAGTGGAACTGGACAAAAGCTGGTACTCAGGCAATCCATAGATGTCCTGGTGGTGCTACAGGTAATATTTTCTTCAGTAAAATTAAAAAAAAAAAAAAATAATCATGCCTTAATTTTAATTCATTGCATTAATAGTACACGGTATAATCAGGTTTGTGTATTTTATTAACTTAATGCAAAATTAAATACATTCATAATGAACCGAAGCATTTTTCAAAGATTTTTTTACTTTATATGAGCTGATTTCCAGAATCTGTAGTAATTTTTATCTCTAGTTCTTTTAATTATACATAATCATTAGGAGATTGACAGAGAAAAGTTGTTAAAATTTTCACATTGAATTTAAGCTGCACCTAAGTTTTACATCATAAAATATGAATAGATGTGGTTTGAATTTGAAGTTATCTTTAGGAGTCATAAATAAAAGGGTGCGAAATGTTAAAACTTGAGTCTTTTGCAATGGAGGTAATTTTATACAAGTGATTTGAGGGGGGTTGTTAGTAAGAACATTAAAATTTCAACATGATATGCAGAATTTTTAAAATAATTAAATTTTGCTCTAAAGAGTATGGTTCTGCTATAAATTAATGTTTCCTTTTAAAATTTAATGTTCATTAGCATGTATTTATTGCAACTGAGCACTCAGCTGTGGGTTTTCCAAATTAATTAATAAGAACAATACTGATGCATTTACTAAGCATAAGTTTTTGAATGCCATTTAGAATCAGGACAATTAATCATGTTCATTACTAGCTGTGGAACTGATCCTGAATTTTCTTGAATCTGAATCCTTTAGAGTTCCCGAATTTTTTAATCTTTTGTATAAGGAAAATATTGAAAGGTGTGAGGGATTTGTATTTAATATTAAATATTTTTAATTAAAGTAAAATTTGAAATCTGCATTTAATGAAGGACTGAAATATACCTGTATGTATTAAGAAGATGAAAAAATATAGTAAAAGAATATAGTGTTCTTAATTTAATGAGTTATAAAATATATTTCACATTTTTTAGATTTTTCCAGAATCTTTTTAAATTTAGGAAATTAGAAGATTATTTTAAGTGTTAACATAAATAAAAACTGAGCATAGAATGCTAAACTCTCTCTCAGAGATGCCACTAGATAACAGTGGAGATCCAAGCATACTGAAATAGCAACAGTTATCTTCTTTTTTAATGAATGCTTCCAAATTTGATGTTAATGAACTAATCTTTTTAAAATTTTGAGTTAAAAATATTGAACAGGTTTTTAGGTTAAGATTAAAAAAAAAATTAGATAGTGGTGAAAGTGCTAAGATTCAAGAACTATCTGAAGGGCCCTTCTTTGTTAATTATGAACAACATTTTATGTACCATATTAAAAATGTTTTTAATAATATGTATCTGAGTTAATTGTGTTTCTTTCTCGAAGTCATTTTTTGTCACTTCATTTATGTTAAATTTACTTTTTTTCATTTGATAAAATTCTATCAAGTAGCTTCATTCCTTAAATATTTATATAAATGAAACATTTATTGTTTAGGTCTTGCTAGATGGCAGTGTGCAAGTGATCCTGTAAGGTGGTTAACGCCTTATCCTGATTTACGTGAATGCAGATCTGGCTGGGTGGTAAATTTGAAGAAGAGAGTAAGTTGAACACAGTTTCATTTAATGACTTTCTTTACTTCAAATTTTAAGTAACATTTCACTTTTTGTAATTTCTTGCATAGATGAAACTATGCAATTAATATTGAATATCTTATTTTAAATTGCAAAAGACAGTTGAATGTCAAAATAGCTTTCTTTATAGTTTCTAGATTCTGATTATTTCATGCAATTTTTTTTAGATTGAATCCGGAGAATCCATTAATAGTGTAGCTGCACAACTTGCACTCATGAGTTTGATTAAGCCTTTGTATGCTGATGACCTCAAAGACATAGCTGAAGTTATACAACAAACATTATCTAGAGCTATTAATGGAATGGAAAACTTTCATGATTTATGGCATCGCTATCATGTTTTGAGAGAATTATTGCAGGTATGCCAAATATTGTGTAATTTTTGTAGATACAGTGCAAATTCTGAAATCTGGACATCCAGTATCTGGAATGATCCAAAATCCAGACTTCTGGGTCACCAACAACTTTTATATATATATTTAATGCTATATATATATATATATATTAAATGCTTGCACATTTGATATTTTTTCATAATAAAACATGTGCAGAGTTTAGATTCTTTATTCTTAATTTCACTTCGACACTTATCATTATTTATTATTACTTCCCTCTCACTCCATGGCTATCAACACACTCCAGTTTGAGAAATGACTTATCAATATCTAAATAATTACTCATAGGCCAAAAGATTAAATTTAGGGCTGTTTGAATTAAGAATAACTGATTTGTTATCCAGGACTGGAGTCAGAGCTGGTGCAGTCACACCAGGTGGCAGAAAGACAGAGAAGCACCAAGCACAACAAAATTAAGGGATGGCAAAATCTTTAGAATTGAGGTAAAGCCTTGGAATGCAAATTTTTTAGAATTTAGAGAGGTGCTTGCCCTGGATAAGCCTCAAATATATGTGAAAATCTATTTATTCAAGACTAAGATGAGTCTTAAGCATGTGTGGGAAGTAGTTGTAAGTGTAATAAATAACTAAACTAATAATAATCGAGGCTTAACTATGGCAGCACGACATAGAAGCAAGACAAAATGTAGTGGAACAACATGTCTTTAATCTCCAACCTCATGATAATCACAAATAGTGTGTAGCAGACATTAGCTGAGCTTTGTGATGATAGTTGAAAATTTGAAGGTTTTCAGGCATAGCAAACAAAAAGTGAAATTTTCCAATTAATGGAATTTGGGAAGAAATGTGCAGAAGTTATGAATGAAGATAATATAACAGAAGTCTTTCATTATTCTGACAATGCCCAGTCATCAATCAAGTACCGATGGCAAAATCTGTAATGTGTTTCTAAATCAAGAAAATATCGCTATCAATAGTGAAGAATAAACAGAGAGGTTGTTGACAATGAAAAAATTTGATTGACAATTTAATAGGAATTCTCAATGCAGCAATTACAGGACTTGGACTATGGAACTTCGTAACTGAACAAGAAGTTATGTCTATCTATAGAATTAAAAGAAAAAGTGTGAACATGCACACAAAAAAAGAAGCTAATTAAACAACTTGCATTGAAAGAAATATTTGATAAAGCAAGCAAATAGTTATTTTTTTAAATAATTTTTCTTCTCTTAAGGGCATAAATTCTTCATCATTTCATAAATCACTATTTCATGTTTTTAATTTTGTAATTTCTGCATGTCATCGTATTAGATTTAAACTGATGATCTAATATCTAGAAAATACCACATATGGAATCACTGAAGTCCCAATGAGTCTGGATCTCTGACTTTGTACTGTATGTAGAGTTTTATTTTATGTATAGTACATTATGAATTAGATTCTAACAGGGAAGAAATCTGACAATTTTACTGTTCTGTTTTGCAATGGTTCTAATGTTAATTCCTCCCCTCCCCCACACACTTAATATGCCAATGAATGAAATTAATGCATTGTAAGGTTTAAACAGTCAGTTGTAGATTCAAAACTGGCATTCAAGAAGCTGTGTTGTTAATTTCTGTTGAATATTTTAGATTAAAATTTTTTGGTCCTTTTCATATGCATTTCTTTGAAGTAAAATGTTAGGATTATTTTGAAATATCCATTTGTTCTTGAAGTATCCGCTTTCAAAAATGCATTTCATATCTTATTTTCAAGTTCATTTTATTAGGTACCAGTACTTGTTAAGCAGTAAAGGAACAATATGTATCAAACTTATTTTTTAAAATTAGAGCTGTTTTGCAATTGTTTGATGAATATGCCCTCACTTTTTTCAAATTTGGGCCAAATTATGAGTACAAATTTCCAACAGGCAATTGTTTCGATCTACTGCTGTTTTGTTGGCCATATCCAGCTCTCCCTTCCCCTATTTAACAGATGTTAATTTACTTTACCAGCTTTAAATGCACTAGAGTGCAATCACAAATATTGCATTACCATTTTTTTATCCATTTTCAAATAAAGTACTTTACTGTGTCCATAATATACACTTTTTCTATGTTAGATTGAAAATAATATATTGCTGTAGAAGGCAGTTCTCAAAAATTTACTCAGTATTTTCCAAAAGAATAGACAAATTACAGGAATACATCAGTTGATTTCTATCAATCAGGGTTACATCAAACAAATGTGCTGATGTCGTGAGTGTATTGTTACATTACGCTTATCTGTAATTGGTGCTAAATTGCAGTACTTGATTACAGTGATTTTTGCAGTCAGTGATGTAATGCAAAAGTACCAAAACTTTTAAGGTTACTTAATATATATATTTTCTGTTATACAACAGCAAACCACTGAAAATTGAATGACTGTATTTATGAATTATTTTTTAACTGAATTGGTTAAAACCAATTTAGTTAAAACATAATTAGTAACATGCAAATATTGATTTACCTTTAATATCCTTTACATGCAAATATTGATTGAAGTGCTTTCTTTTGTTAGAATTTGAGATGTTTATCGACAAATTTTTAATAGTAAGTTTTCAATATAATTTTTTATACGTATCAAGTTACCTGATTTCCATGTCCTGTAGTAAAGAGTTTTATTGCTTGTCTTTAATAATTCAGGTTTTAAAAAGAACAGCTTAACAAACAACAATTTACTAACATAGCTTTTCCACTTTCATGAATTTTTAGTGTTTTGTCAGTGTTTTTGATTAGTAGTTATTTTGTTAAAATTATTTATCAAAAGACGAAAAAATTTTTAGTGTTCTGTCTAGTGAATTCTAAGCCTTCTTGAAAAGCTTTCTTTTATTTTTTATTTCCAGATGATAAGAAAGTGAAAATAGAGTATTGTATAGAAGTTTCTTCATGCTGACTTCCGTTGTTAAGTTTATAAATATGAGATATTCAGGAAAATTGAGATTTTAAAACTTAAAGAAATGAAACATTTCAAATTGTCTAATTACGTTTTTATTTTAGTAAACGTTCTTACACTTACCCATACCCCCAGTTTCAACATTTGGTAGAACTACCATGTTTTACCATATTTTTTGGCATATATATCTCAGTGGTCAACTCATGTATACATGTGCCACACATGTGTTCAAGTACATGTGAATTTATAAGTTTTATGCTTAACCATCTTTTCATGGAATAGTATTCACTGGCTGTAAAAATGTAAATATCTGTCATAGATTTTTGTTTTTGTTCTCTTTCATAGAATTTCTTGTTTCTGATAAAACATTTTTTTTATTATTTACTTATAAATAGATACAGATAGCCAAATCAATTTTTTGTTTGCTAGTCCATAGAATTGCTAATTCGTTAGCTACTTCATATGGGGTGTGGATAATCAGAAACTACTAGATTTCTCAATGGTGTTTAATTTTTCCCCTCTTTTCCTTCTGTCAACTAATACTGAATGAAAATGTATTCATTCACTTATCTGCAATGATATCCACAATAAAATATTGGGGGTTTGGTCCTAGGATTTAAATTTAATGAGAAAACAAACAGAGATCCTGACTGGAGTCTCCTAATTTGGATTACAATTTTTGATGATTGTTCTAGTAGAAACTACTGTGATAACTTAAGCATGGGAGACAATTCTCGAGACATTTTGATAACCACATTTGAATGCGAAGCAGATAACATTTTTTTTTTTTTTTTTTTAACTTGCATAAAACTGAAAGAAAAATCGTATAAATCATTGATTTCACTCTGTCCAGTTTCTGTTATGTGATTTAGGTAGTGTTTTATAATATAGCCTTATGTAAATGTATCTGAAAGTTGATAACAGTATTGTAAAATACCATTTTTGTTTGATAATACTACTTATTTATTAATTGACTTTCTTATTGGAAATTTCAAAGGACCATTTTTTGTTTTTTGTTTTATACTTTAGTAATCATTTTATCAAACAGCTTGTTTAAAATGCATGCAGTATTTTATTTAGGATTGAATTAACTTATATGTCTAGGGTAAATTCAAAATGTTCTCATGTTTTCTTTCAGTCCTTGATGGTAACAATAAGCAATCTCCTGAAGCAAGGTCAGAGTGCTTGGAAAGATCTAACTGCACCTGACCGTCGAAGAGTTGCTTCTTCTTTATTAGATGGGTTAGAAGAAAGTGCTATGTTATTAGCTCAGGCATCTGGAAAAGAAGACTCTTTTACTTTAGCTGAAGCAAATGTTTGTAAGTATTTTTGTCTTTATGAGCATTGATTCAAATATTATATAATGCTAATAAATTGCATATCTATCATTTCAGATTCTTTTTTTTTTTAATCTTTAAAAAGGGTAAAGATAATTGTTTAAAATACTTATTTTTACTCATATTTCACAGTTACATTTTCACATAAATGAACCTGCATTAAAATATTTAAAATATATTATTTTTAGTTCTATCTGTCCAAGTGCTGAATGCTAGAACATCATCACCTTTTCAGTTTCCAATGCCAAATTATTTTCGTGGTGAGACTGGTGAAACTGCTTGGGTTAGAATGGATGATACTTTTGTTTTACCTGCTCAGGCACTGTTAGATATATCAAAACATGGTAAATTTTGTCTTCATACTGTACTCAACTACTTCATGTGCAAATGTGTTTTGTACTTAAAGAGTTTCAATTTATTTTAAATTCAATGTGTATATATCTTCCTTAGGTCTTGCAAAAGTTGTATTTGTTGTGTATAGTGGTGTAGGAGAAATTCTGAAACCAGAACCTGGGTACCTCTCACGTGGTGGGAAAGGAAATTCCAGCTGGCGTATTAATTCTAAAGTTATTGCTGCTGTTATTGGTAAAGAAGAAATGATAAGATTATCTCAGCCTGTGATAATAACATTTAGACATTTAGAGGTAATACATATTTTTAATTCTTGAGTATTATTCTCATTTTATTCAACGTGGAATCATTTTATTCTTTTTTCTGTTTAAGTTCGAAATTTGAATAAGGCTTTCTTTAGTATATGATATGATCATATAATTTGTTAGAGTTTTCAAAGTTTTATAATTGTCATTTGTTTTGTTTGTTTGAGAAATTGTTGCTGCCTTTATTTTAGTTTTTCTGTTGGCAAATTAGATTAAATATTTTGTTTGATTAAAGTCTGTTATCAGTATCTAGAAAAGTCTGATTCAGACCTTTTTATATCATCATGCAATTAGAATCCTCATCCTTCCAAAGATATTATCAGTGTAACCAAAGATAGAAAAAAAATCATACAGCAAGAAATCTAGAATGTAGAGATAAAGCTTCAGAATCTCCCAATTAAGTTTATAACTTCTGCCTCTGCCCTAAGAACATGAAAAAGCACACTGTATGAGATATGACCTTTCATGGGGTTAGCAGGACAATTAATTTTAGTTTCAACTACAAATTAGTTTCACAAGTCCAAAAATAGAACCACTGTTGCCCTCTTAGTATGCATTTACTACCCATCACAACATTAGCAAGTGTACCACATGCTTCTAAAACATCAAGGAGTACAATGGATGTTCATAATCTGGTGGCATATGTTTATGCATGCAACCCCAGAAAATACTCGAATGAATGTTTCCACAACTGAAAAATAAATGCTACATGTTTCTCCCTATTGGATTCATTTGATATTTATGACACTGTTTATATATGTATGACATGGGTGCACTATGACCCACAAATGGTCAAACAATAAAACTGTTGAATTTAATAGTTTGACCCTTGGGGTTGATTACAGACTTCAACCAGTTGGCTTTGATATGTTCTTTTCCTGTCAAAAGGGCTGACCGTATGGGAGTTTTTGTTGTTTTTCTTTTATGTAACGTGAATACAACTTACTCTCCATTAAAAAGTCTTCCATGAAAGCATCTTCCCTTTGGCAAATAGCCTTAGAGCATTATGCAGTAATTAAATAATTCAATTTAATCCAACATATTATTTGCAGATCAGAATACAATGAACCCAGTTAGCTAATCTGATGATACATTCATAACTGCATCCATAATATTGCTATCAAACGGAAAACTTTTTATCATCTTTTATGTAATTGAATATTTTGGTATTTTTTTACTTTTTATAAAATATATAATACTGTAATAATTTTTAATGAAAAATAACAGTCTTATAATTGTGAATTAATGTAATAACAAAGTTGTATAAAATATAAATTTTTGTAAATTTACTCAGAATGTAAAAATTTATTGCATGTAATATTTCAGGAGGAAAATATGACTAACCCATTATGTGTATTCTGGGATTTTGATATTAGGTATAAAATATTTCCTTTCCTTTTGTATCATATTAGTTTGTGCATATATACATTCATATATAATGTATGAAAAAAATAATTTTTATGTAAATAAGCATAAATAATACACTCTTTTCACCTATTACTAGGGAATGGTCTAGTGTTGGCTGTTGGGTCCAAACTACCAATGCAACTCACACTTCATGTGCATGTAATCATCTCACAAATTTTGCTGTAATGATGGAAGTGGCCAGTGTGAAAGTAAGCCTTTAAAGATTCTATAAACATGTAAAACTTACGCAGCTTTTTGTGATAACTATTGAATTTTAACAATTTTAATGTGAAAGATATTTTTAGTGTTAGTATTATTCGTTAATGTCAGAATTACGCGGATATGTGTATGATATACCTGATCGAAAAGATGGGAAACTACATATATTTCTTTTTCCCAGTATTAACCATGGCAGCCCTGTCCTGGGTTTTGTGAGAGTTAAACAACAGCAGTTTTAAACCTGCAGTTGAGTAGCTTTGACCTTCAGTATTTGGTTATAACAAGTGCCTGGGGTATTCTGTAAAGGCCATATAGTCATAGAAAGACATATTTTTGACTACAGGGCAGGGATAGTTTTGAAATAATTTTAATTAAATTTGGGAAGAGCTATTAAGGAACACTTGAAACATTATTATAGAGACATTTTAAGTAGTCTAAAGTACATTTTGGTAGGTTACAAATTATTTCAGTTAACAACACTATAATCACTGAATCTTAATAATCCCTGCACTTAAGCTTTAAATAAGAAGTAATTAATATAGACAATTTGTGATCTTTACTTGAGCTGCTATTTGTATTAATTTTTACACATATTTTAATGAGTAATGAATATAGAAGGAACTGAAAATTGTTAGCATTAAAGTTAATGGCTTCAAACATTCAAATTTCCATCATTATTGTAACACTCGGGCATTTACCACTACACTTTTATACTAATTAATATAACTTTGTTATACTAGTTAATGTTACAGTTTTATGATTAGTGTTCCAATATTTGTTTATCAGTAATAAAAAAATGTGGAATTATAGCTGGATTTTTGTTAGTTTAAATTTCAAATCTGTGTAATTGTATTACATAAGTTTTATTCATATTACTGATATGAAGTTGGCAAGAACATGTTTGCATGGAAGAGGCAAAATTTTTCATCACTATATGTACGTAATTATTAAATTAATCTTTGCATTAAAAAATGTCACAGGTTTTGCCACAAAATCTTATTGTGTAATTCCGGCTGTTAGATTATAATTTGTATGTTTACTTTAATTGCTTCTTCTGATGCATGCACATTTCGCCTTTATCGAGGTGTGGCATGATGATGCTGTCTCACTCCTCTGTTGTATTTATGTATATACGTACATGCTATGCTTCGCTTTCTCTCCTGTGCACACGCTGACAATGTCCATCTATCTAATTAAAATGTTGATTGATACTATAATCTGTCTCTAGGGTCATTTTTTTTTCATTACAAAAAATTTAAACATTGAATTAAAATTGTGTAAATATATATATTTTTTTTTACTTTTGAATTCATATCCTACTTTTCTAAATTATCAACAGTACTTATAATTTTTATTACTTCATTTTTAAATACTTTTATCTGTTCTGTAAATATATAAGAAAAGTTCACATTTCTTGCATGCATGTTTCCCCAGTTCTTCCACCAGTGCAAAAAACCTGTGACCTTCCTTTCATTAAATTATTTATATATTGCAAACAAAACTATAAAAGATGTTACATTACAAAGTTTGAAATCTGGACATCCAATATCTGGAATATTCTAAAATCTATTCTAATCATTTTCCTTGCTATGTTTCGTGCATGTGCATTTGATTTTTTTAAGATACAGTACAAAGTCCGTAATCCAGACTCATCGGAACTTCGCAGATTCCGGATTAGGGGTTTTTTCGCATTATAGATCATCAATTTAAATCTGGTAAGATGGCATGCAGAAATTATGCAATTAAAAATATGAAACCATAATTTATGAAATAAAGAACAATTATGATCTAAAAGGTATCAAAATTTGGGGGGGAAAAAAAAAAAAAAAAAAAAGAGCTTTATATTTATTTGTTTACTTCATTAAACATTTCTTTCAGTGTAAGTTGTTTAAGTTGCGTTTTTTTTGTTCTAATACTTTCTCTTTAATTCTATAAACAGACATAATTTCTTGTTCAGTTGCAAAGTTCCACTGTTCAAGTCCTGTAATTGCTGTGTCGAGAATACCGACTAACTTGTCAATCGAAATTTTTTTGTTTTCAATAACCTCTTTATCACTTTCTTCACTATCAGAAGTGATATCTTCTGGATCTAGAACCATACTACAGATTTTGCTGTCCATTAATTGATTGATGATTGGGGCATTGTCGTTGCAATGAAAAACTTCTGTTATATCATCTTCATTTATTACCGCTTCCTCACATTTCTGTACAAAATCCAATAACTGAAAAATTCACCTTTAGTTTGCAATGTCCAGATCCAATTAGAAGATTAAGGAACAGCACAATCTGCAACATTAACTGAAATGCCTTAGAATCAGTAAAGATAATTTTAGTCTAGTTTATACCGTCCATTATACATTAAATGTGCATGCATAAATGCAATTACATGCATCCATAAAGCATACAAAAAAAAAAAAAAAGGTTTGTGGCTTTGAGGTCTGAATTATCAATCATTCTGGATGATGGACGTCCGGATTACAGACTTTGTACTGTATAACATGTAGAGAGACCTGATCCTTAATTTTCATTTGGCACTTAAATAAAATGCCTCTGTCACTGTAGGGGCCTTTTTGTTTGGCAAACCAAAACATTCTACATCGAAACATTGTTGATTTTAAATTATTTAATAATTTACATACCTGACCTCCAAGCTGGCCAATAATTTTTTATTATTTTCTGCTTTTATCATAGCATGACTATCCACACATGGCAGCTTGAAAAATCATTAAAGCAGAGATGTGTAAAAACATTTTGAATACCATACAGCATGGTAACCTGCTATAGCGACATTACGCTTGAGATTGATTACAGACTTAGCCAGTTGGGCTGCGCTATGTTGAGTGTGTTGACAAGGCAAAATTTGACTAAAATTTCTTTCTACATGCGGGGGGGGGGGATATTTTGTAAATGATTCTCATACGGCAAAACATTTAGTGCTGTTTAAATTAATAATAACTGACTTCTTTTTTAGATAAGCCAGTAAGACTGCACCAGGTGGTGAAATTTTTTTAATTTAGAAAAGCACCGAAAAATAAAGGGATGGCCAAATTTTTAGAATTTAGGATGGCTCCTGGTAGCAGTATTTAGGACCTACAGAGATTGAACAAGAAGGCAAAATGCCTAGCACTGATCCTGGAAAAGACTTTAATGTGGTCATTTGTTTATTTAGAACTCAAATAAACATTAAGTATGTGCTGGAAATAGACATAAGTATAACAAAAATTAAATGAATATAATTCAAACTCAGTATGTATCTCAGCAGGTAACTCGGTATGTTATAAATGCAAGGCAAATTTTAGTGGAACATGTGTTTAATTGCCGGTCTCGCCAGCAGTGTACAGCGGACACTAGCTAAGGTTTATGATGATAGCCGCAGATTTGACAATTTTCTAATGTGGCTAATCAAATGCAAAATTTTCCAATTAATGGAACTTGTGAAGAAATATGGAGAAATGGTAATTAATGAAATGATAATATAGAAATTTTTCTTTGCAGTGACAATGCCCCAATAATCAATCAACAAACACACAGCAAAATCTGTAGTATGGTTCTAAATCCAGGAAATATCAGTACAGATAGTAAAGAGAGTGACAGAGAGGCTATTGAGAGCTAAATAACTTCATTTGCCGATTTAGTGTGAATTCTAGACACGGACTTGGAACAAACGGCACTTCGTAACTGAACAAGAAATTATTAAAATCAAAGAGAAAGTATTGAAGTTAAAAAGCATAATTAAAGAGACTATTAAAATTAAAGACCACACACACACACACACAAAAAAAAAAAAAAAAAAGAAGAAGAAATAGTGAAAGAAAAAGCAAATAAATAAATATTTAGTTTTTTAATAAATTTAGATTCCTTAAAGTAATAAATCTTTCATTATTTCATAAATAATTCTTTCTTCCTTTTTTTTTTTTTTTTTAATTTTATAATTTCTCCATGTGATCTCATTAGTTTTAAACTGATGGCATAAAGTCTGGAATCACTGAAGTCCCATTAAGTGTGGATCTTTGACTTTGTACTTTATTAGTTTGCAATTAAAAGGCATTTTAAATGTCATTGATGGAAAGATAATTGATTTTTATTATGTATAAGTGAAACAGAATTGGTAGTTTTAATGCAGTAAGAAAAGTTATATTTATGTATTGTTTCTTAAAAATTATTTCATAAAATTATTATTATTAAAAATTATCTTAAAATCATTATTATTAATTATCTTAGTGGTTTCATGTATGTTTCTGTTTCTTTTCTCGTTAAAGGAAGTAGCTGTTGCTCAAGATGTTTTGCATGTGACAATCACAGTAGGGTGTGGAATTTGCATCATCTGCTTAATCCTCACTATTGTACCAATATTTCTTTTAAGGTTTGTAATTTATTTTTTCTGTTATATTAAGCAATTTTTCATTACATATTAAGTTATATTAAGTACTCCCTATTGTAGTATTTTCTAGCCATTGTTTAGCTATCTAATATATGTTTTATAAAATTTTCTTATCATACTTTTAGAAAATAAACATATTGTAAAAAGATTCATAAATATTTATATACAATGTTTAAATAATTTATTGCTTATTCAAACTGTATCATCATGAGAGAGGTATATACTGCCATGTTCAATATTGTAGATCACATTTCTTTGATAATTCTGATAAAAAATATTATAAGAAATAGAAAACTATTTCATATTTAATAATTATTTAATATACATTTAATTTAATTAATAGTATAATTTAATTAGTATTTAAATAGTCACATATTATTTTTATTATAAGTTAGCATTTGAAAAACAAGTTTTTAACTATGAAATGGTAGTTTTTAATAGCTTTAGTATAAATCAGGAATGAGCATTAGTATATTTGTAGGATTTCTTGCTTTAAGAACATCTGATCTTAAAATTAAGATATCTTAATTAATTTAAAATTAATTTCTAAATTGTTTCGCTTTCTTTTGTCATCTTCTTTTCTGCCATGCCTTTTCTTCAACTTCTGGTTATTTAAATTTAATGCCTATTATGTATGGAATTTATAATATTTTAATTTATTTTATTTTTAGGAGCTTGAGAGGTGACACTGTTACTGTTCACAGAAATATATTTCTCTGTTTACTACTGACTGAAATTGTTCTCATAATGGGCATTGAACAAACATGGGAACCAATTTTGTGTGCAATACTTGCTGCTGTTTTGGACTACTTACTTCTGGCTACCATTTGCTGGGCCTTTCTTGAATGCTTTCAACTATATGTTGAACTTGCAGATATCTCACAGCCTCAGAAATCTCGATGGGGATGGTACTATGGTCTTGCATACTCTGTACCAGCAATTATAGTCAGCATTGCTGCAGTGGTAGATAGTAAAAGCTATGGAACTGATCGCCTTTGCTGGTTGCGTTCTGATAATTACTTCATTTTTAGTTTTATAGGACCTGCTATTGGGATTTATTTTGTAAGTAAAGTATTTTCCCCTCAATAATGTACATTTATGGAATCTTTATTCATGGAAAAATATGTGAAAATTTAGAAATGAGTGTATTTTAAATTCAGTATAATAAAGAAGGCCAGTAATCAACATATATTAATAACAGTGTGCTTATAATGTCTTTCTGAGTTATATTTCTCCTGTTCGAATTTTTGTATGTAACTAACTAGTAAAATGTATACTCATACTTGACAAATTGCTTAGTTAAGATTAATAGAATACAAATCATATATTTTAAAAATACAACTGGATAATAGTAATAATAATGCCAGTACAAAAAAAGAAAATTGGATAGAAAAAGGTATAAATAAATAAGAGGAAAATATTTGTATGAAGTAAAGACTTGTAAAAAATTGGTATATCCACCAAGATTATTTTTTTATGCTTTTAGGTGAAAGAAAAGAAATAAATCCATTCTTTGCAAAAACCTTTTTGTAAAGGTATTTTATTAATTTATTCCCTGTGCTATTTCCATTATCACATTATTACAACACTGCTATACACTGGAAATAATATTACAACACTGCTAGCAATTAGTAAAAAGTGCTAGAATTTTGGGTTGTTCAACCCTCTTTTTAACTATGTATTCCAGTTTTTGATCCCAGTAAAATTTCTAATGTACTGCTACTAATTAAGTACTGTTTTTAATAATCTATTTTATATTGCTGCTGATATAAACAAGCTTTCATCAGTTGCCATGAATGTAAACAAAATAACTCAAAAGTGCATTAAAATGGACAGTGTAATTCTTGTAAAGTAAATTCTTTATTCATTCTGACTACTAAAAATTCATTTTAAAAGGCAGGAGAATATATATCAAGAAGGAGGAATTTACATAAATCTAAACATATGCAGAGCTTCACTGTGTGTGGTTGCTATAAAATGTGCTAATAAAAGTACTAACTTGAATAATAAAATAAATTTGCTTCTCCATTTTAAATGTATTACAAGTGTAGTATAGTGTTGTTAAAAGTTTATTTCATATGCATACAAGAAAACTGATGCTAAATTTGCCATGCTGAATTTTCTAAAAACTGAAATTTTGGCCACTTGCATCCAAAAATTAGTGCAGATTTATAGCATTGTATTATATATGTGATAAATAAATAAAATATTAATAAAATGTTAATTGTACTGTTAATTTTTCTGTTCTTTTATTTTTCCATTTCTCAAGCCATTTGAATTAAATAAATAAATTTAAAAAAACATCTGAAAGATTTCAGATTTTAAATTACGTCCAAAGGGGCATTTTTTAACATTTTGTGTGTTACCTTTATTTATTAAATGTCATGTTCTTTTCACTTAAACCGTAAAATTCAGTTTAAGAACAATATCGCAAAATAATTTTTAAATGAGCATATCTTTAGAATTAGTCTTATAGGCTGGGAATAAATTTCTTTTTCTGTACAACATTGTCATTGCTTACTGTGAAGTACTTGAGTTTGTTAATAAAAAATTCGTTAAAGTTTTACAAAATATGAAATCGATAATATGACAAATCCCAAATTTCAAGCCCATATTTGCAGGAGGATTATGTTATGTCATTCGAAATTTGATGGCTTTAGGTACCATTGTTTTATCATAATGCGAGAAACATATATACATTTATGTAGATTCTTCATTATTTGATTTCTTTAAATATAATACAGGGTGATAATATTTGGTGGTAACAATTTGAAAAGTGAAGCAATGCTTGTAGTGGATCAACTCAAAATGCGAAAAGGAAATTAGTCCTTTTGGGCAAATTGCCCCTTTGGACTAAAAATTTTCTGTGAAATAATTTGTAAAAGTTAGTACTCCCTGAAAAAACTATACATTAACTTAAAATCATGTAGGACCTATAGAATATTGTACTAAATATGAAACTTAAAAGACAATGCTATTTGCTGTCTTATCTGTTAATGACTGAAATCAAAACTAGGAATATTTTTCATTTTGCACAGAATAGCCTTCATTAACATTCACTGCAAATAGTAATATAAATTCACCTTTACTGTAAGAGACCACTTGGTGGAATATATTTAGTTATAATATCTGTAAGGAATTCCGTTGTGCATGAAACCTTTCTTTAAAATGTGCACTTATTTCAAATTAAAGTTCAAAAGCAGCATAATTTAAATGTTTTTAATAATTAGATTTTAAAATATTTCTAAATGATAGTAAAAGGATGAATAATATATATATAATGATTTATTAATGATATTTTATCCATTTCTTTGTTTTAATTTTGTTCTCCAGTAAAAGGATGAATAATATATATATATAATGATTTATTAATGATATTTTAATCCATTTCTTTGTTTTAATTTTGTTCTCCGCTTAATATCAGTATTAGATTTTTTCCTAAAAATTTTCACATTTTTTTTTCTCTTATAAATTAAACTTACCTTTTATAGAAAATTAAATTAATTCTGATTATCTTAAACTGTATTTATTCCTCTTTCTGTGTCTACAGGGTGGCATGGTATTTCTTTGTGTAGCAAGCTGTATATTGTATCATCATTCAAGTCTTACTACTGCCATTAAAGGGAAAGAAGAAGCAAAATTATCAAAGATCAAGTAATGCATTCAAATTCTTTTTAAACCTAATTATTTATAACTTCTAAAAATATTAAAAATTTACTAGATTTATGAACTTAGCATGAAAAAAGTTTGTTTGTATTCATCTAGGTCACATATTCGACGAGCTGTATTACTGATGTGCATACTTGGGCTGACTTGGACTACAGGCTTGTTATATTTGCACCAAGAAACTCTTACCCTTGCATATGCCTTTACAATACTCAACTCCGGCCAAGGAATTTTTATATTAGCCTTTTACTGTATAACAGATGAAAAGGTATTGCTTCACTGTTTAAAGTTTTGTCATTTGTTGTCCCCCCCCTTGTAATTAAATTTGTTGTGCCTGTAAAAAATTCAGATGAAACCTGAAGAGCAGTTTAATGCGCATGTAATTTAGAGGAATTTTGTGGGGAAAGGGTAATTTTTGAATAAAAATAATACTGTTCTTATGGTTTCAGATTCTAAATATCATTTAATAGTTAAGTATATTAATTTCAATAACACATGCAAATACTTTAAAATATTTCAGATCTACATAAACAAATAATTCTTATCATATGTCTGCCCCCCCAAAAAGAAACCTACAGGGCCTCTTTCCACTCTCTTCTAAACCTGTTAAGAAAATTTATAAAAATATATTTGAAAACTTACAAATTTATTTATTCCTGTTTGCTTATTGTAAATGTCTTAGCACTTTCTTTATATAAGATAAACTGTATTGAGTTGTTTGAACTTATTTTTTCTTTATAATTAGATGTTATCATTAGAATCATTTATAACATAACTTTGATTACTTTTAACCGTCTTGTTTATGGCTTATCACAGTAATTGTTGTTAAAGGTTTTATCACAAACTGTGAAGGGAAAATGTTCTATTTTGGAAGCCCCCTACGATATAAATAGCCCTTATATTGTAAGAATTTAATGTGTTGTGTATAATAGTTTGTACACACACACACACACAAAAAAAAAAAGGTGCTTAATGTAAGGATAATTACATGATATAAAATGCAGCTTAGCTAAACCTAACCTTGAAATATTTTAATTAAATAATTAATTAAAAAACAGATTTTTATATTTAAAAGAAATGGATAAATCATCAGAACTGGCAATGCAGAAAACCACATACATCTTTCAAGCTTTCTGCTATTCTGTACTCCTGGTAGATGCCTATTTGTAAAATTTAAATAGCTTTCCCACCCACCCTTTTTTATTCATAAGGATTAAAGATTTGAATGATTTTTTTTTTTTTAATTTTTTTTATTTTGGGAAAAAAAAGAAGAAGAAAAAACACTGACTTGTTGTGTCTCTTTTTTTACATAGTGAAATACATATTTTATTTGTTAACAGATGTGGATACAGTTATTAAACAGTAAGCATATAGATTAAAAATATTAACTGCTTTGATGGCAGATTTGTATTAAACTTTAGTTATTAGTATATTTTTTATTAAAAAACACCTTTAAGTATCTACTAATTGGCAACCATTTAAAGTTGAATAATCTTTTCAACAATATTTAGACTTCAAGGAAGAAAATTTTAAAATAAGTAATTAATATTTAGAGTTCTTTAGGAAATAGTTCTGAAAGAATTATTTTGTGGTTAGCTGGAATCAAGATTCTTTACACAATTTTCAGTTTATATCTAGTATTGCAATTATAATAATGAAATCAATTTTAATGATATATTTATTATTAATTTTCAGATTCAGCCAGAATTGGAAAGGCTAGGTGAATGCCAATTATTAGGCCCTCTCCACCGTTCAAAAGGAAATCTCCCACCACCTGCAGCACTCACTCCTGGTTCCCCTGGGCCAACACAGTGTGGGTAATCCCTGCCCTCCCCTCTCTGTATGCACTCATAGTCCCTCAGGTATTTTTCCTGCACCCTAGACCGCATGTGTCCTGAATGCATGTGTATGACAAAGAGTATTTAGTTTAATTTCAAAGAAAAATTATATGAAAGTGCAGCTCAGTTTCTTGTATTCACGAATAACTTTTACCCCATCCCTTCTCTGATTGTTTCCATCTGTGTAGAACATTCATATTTTTCTTATTATACCATAAGTTGTTACCTTTATGTATAGCTGTTATTAGGAGAGAGATGTCTCTTTAATAAGACTTAAATAAGGCAAATGTATTTCCCACGCCATTAGATTTCTTTCTCTAAAAATAATAATTTGTTATATTTAAAAAGTTTAAAAGAATATAAATATTAAAAGGCAAAGAGTATTTCAGTTAATCATTTGGTAGATAGAAAAATATTCCAAACTGTGTTTCAGGTTTTTAAAATTTATATGACTAGGCAAATTTGGTGCCATTTTATTACTTGGATTTTAAGTTCCTAATTAGAATTTGAAATGACATGCTTTTAATGGTATGTTGGATATTCTGTAACAAATTATTTCCAAATTTATTTTAAAAGTTAGACCCCTTCTCCCTATAATTTGCAGTTCTATGCCAAATTATATATGCAGTTTGTATAACTAGCAACATTTAAATGTTCATGACTTCAAATAAATCAGTTGGAAACCGATTCCTGTAATCAAAATTTTAATTTTTAGTGCTACAAAATCTGTTGTATTTGAGGTATAAAGATTGCTAAGTAATCAAGGAGACTGGATTATTTTAAAATATTCTTTCTAACCTGACACAACGTAACTAGCAGAAAAGGGAATTCAAACCAAAAAAAAAAAAAAGATATAAAAACATACAAAAATAAATGAATGAATGTATAATAATAATTTCTGTGTTGTCCTTTAATCCTTTATAATTCATTCACTATTATTTGCAGTTTAATGCAATTTTTTGATTTACTTGTACATTAATGTGATTAATATGTAAAACAAAAATTTCCATCTGAATTCCTAATAAATTGGAAGATGATAAATTATACCGATACTAAAATTATGCATGCTAATTATAATATCAGTATAATGTGTCATCTTAAAAATTACTTTCTAAAAGACATTTAAAATGAACTAAATTGTGTTTAATTCTAAATAAAAATTAATATGTAATACAAAACTGATTCTGTCCATCTACATAATATTTAAAAGCATGCATTAAAAAAAAAAAAAAAGAAAGAAAAAAAAAAAAGAAAGAAAGAAAAAGAAAGAAAAGAAAAAAGACTGAAAGCTTTCAGATTTTACATTACGCCCAAAGGGGCATTTTTTTAAACATTTTGTGTGTTACCTATATTTATTAAATATAATGTTCTTCGCACTTAAACCATAAAATTCAATTCAACAACAATATCACAAAATAATTTTAAAATGAGTGTATCTTTAGAATTTCTGATACACAGTCTCTTGCACTGGAGATAAAAATGTTTTCCCCCCCCCCATACAGTGTTGCAGTTGCTTGCTTTAAAACCATTTGTTAATCAAAAATTTGTTAAAATTTTACGAAATATGAAATAGATAATAAAACAACTTCAGAATTCAAAATTCGGGCTTTCAGGTGCCCATATTCTATGAAAGAATACATTATTCAAATTTTGATGGTAATTTTGATGTTTGTTGTCATTGTTTTATCACAGTGTGAGAAACATACATGCCAGATTTTCCATTATTTAATTTCTTTAAATATAACAAAGAGCGATAATATTTGGTGAAAACAATTTGAAAAATGAAACAGACATATAAAATTTTTGATGCAAAATGCCAAAATGAAATTAATGTCCTTTCTGCGCTAATGCCTTTTGAGATTAAAAAAAATTATCAGAGTGAAATAATTGTGATGTGATAAAATTATCATATGCATTAGATGCCGAGTACTCCAGTAAAACATAAAAATAAGATTCTTCTATGAATAAAGGAATTTAAAAATGCAAACTTATTTCTGTAATGGTATAATGGTTTTCTTGTTTCGTTCCATGCTTAAAACTGGGTAGCATATGTAAGTTTAATCTTGATTGCTTTCTTTGCTGCATTCATAATTAATTGAATGAAATTGAAGCTAAAATAAACTTTGCTCTTTTTGCTTGTGTTGCTTTGTTCGGTTTTATTGCATGCACTGTTGTTTGTGTCTGCATGTTTGAGTGTTATCTTCCAGATTGTGGCTTACCTGTAATTTCATATCTTTAATATTCTTAATATTGCTATTTGTGGCATGTGCTTAGGAATACTTTATTTTGCATGATGTTTATTTGTCTCTGAATTTTTCATTTCTTATATAGAAACAATACCTGAAGTCCCAATTTAAAAAATAATTTCTTTTAATTTCCATTTTTAAGAAAAATAAAATATTTTACTCTATGCTGTATTTAATATTTAAATGTTGAAAATAGAGGCTAAAAATTGAAATTATATTCTGCTGTCAGTTTTAAATTTAATGCAATCAAATTTTGTGAGGAGTGTTTCTGTTAGAAATATGTATTTGTGTGGTACAAATGTATTTGCATTTTATAAATGTATGTAAAAAGTTTTTGAAGGTAATAAATGGAGATGTTTTTCAAGATAAGTTCCATTTAGAATTAATGATATTATTTCCATAGTTCACTGTGTAGGAAAACTTAAGCTAGGGATAACAAAATATGCAGGCTTCACTTGCTAAAGTCTAAAATATGTAGTGATATATTTAGTATATATTATAATATCCAGAATGAAAAGAATGTCATTAATCTAGAGTGCGAAATATTCTTAAGAAAGGAGTTTGTATAAATTTTTATTTCAATGAAATGTTAATTTACTAAAAGCAGAACTTATTTTAAATTTCTTTCAGTATTATTAAATTTTTATTTCATTTTCTTTGATTTGTACATATGCAAACTAAAATTTTTAGGACTTGCAACTCTTATTGCTAGGTCTGTTTAATTTTAAGACCTTTGTGATCTTTGAGTAATATTCTTGTATGATCCTAAAATTATGAAAAGAAATTAATAACTAGCCAAGGTGTGTCATATTTTATATTTTAAATGTGAGATGTATGAAAAATGCTCTTTTTTTTTTTTTTATTTTTTTTATTTTTTTAACTTTATTGCAAAAGTAAGCTACACAAGTTAATGTCAGTGATCTTTAACTTGCAATTTAAAAATTTTTCCCCCGCGAGGCAGGTTAATGCATGGACTTCATTTTTCTTATTAATAAAATTAGAGTTTTTAAGCCAATTTTTTTATATCTTAAATATAAGCTATGTGACTAGAGAATGTAACTTAAAGAATTTTTTTTTTAACAGGAGGAATGTCAGGAAGTAGAAAGCCCAATCAAGCAAGGAAATTGCTCTGTCAACCTCACTTCCACAACACTAGGTATTTTGCTTTTCAGTGATTTGTCCTGAAAATTATTTTGATATAGTTGGAAAATAATCATGAAAAGAACTTCTGTAAGTGTTAGGAAATAAATCTTAAGTGTCTGATAATTTACTGAAATATAAGATAATTTATGTAAGCCAAATGGACAAAAATTTGTCAGTAACTAATATTAAAATGAATCTGAAGTATTAAGCCGCTTCTTCGTAAAGCTATTGTGCAACTATTAGGAAATTTATATCAATTTATAAATATATTTAATTCAATCTCATACAAGATGATCAGCGAATAAGCCCTGATTTCAAAATTAAATATCTCTACAACAAAGATCGATAGAATTATGCGGTAAACTGTATGCTTATTAGCAAAACTGTAAAAGTAGTGTACAAAAATTTAGAAAATTTAGTTACAAAAATCATTATAAGATGGCGCTCTGTGCTGAAAACTCTTTCTGAATGCTGCTGAAAACTGAAAACTCTCTCTGAAAGGAGTAAAAAAAAAAATAAATAAATAAATAAAGTGAAGCAGCCTTTGCAATCAAAATACAATTTTTTTCAAAATGTTTACCGTTTGAAACAATGAGGTGGTGTAAATGAACAATGAAATGTGACATCATGTCTTGCAATGTCTCAACAAAAATGGAATCACATGCAACACCAATCAACAATTCAAGTTCATCTACTGTAGCGGGATTGTTTTAATAATGTCTTTCAATGCACCCCACAGAAAGAAGTCACAAGGACTCAAGAAAGGAAGAATATGGAGGCCAAGCTATTCCAGTGCCAGTAAATTGGGGATAATCTAACACAACTACTCTATTTCCAAAGTATTCATAAAGAAAGTGAAAAACTTTATCTGTTCGATGTGGTCGAGCCCCATCTTGCATGAACCAGTCGATACCTGGTCGATTCTCCAACGCTAGTTGAGTGCTGACAAATTGTTCCAAAATTGTAACGTAATGTTTCAGTAGTTATCGTTTTCTCATACGAAAAAGGGGGTCCTGATAATGCCTCTTGGCGCATACCGCAGCCCATGCAGTAACTTTAGGTGAATGCAATGCTTTCTCTTCACACAAATGAGGATTTTCCAAACCCCAAAATCTCCAGTTTAGATTATTAATGATTCCATTCAAATGAAAATGTGCCTCATCTGTGAACCAGATGCAGCTCACATCAAATCTGTCATTGTCGATCATTGTTAGAATCTGATTTGCAAAGTCAACCCTTTGTTGTACAGCTTTCATGGGTATGGCCTGATGACTTTGGATTTTGTATGGAAACAGCCATAGGCTATTTTTTAATACTTTTTGCCTGCTTGTGTACTTCAAACCTGTTTCTAATGTAATCTGTCGGATGCTTTTCCTAGAATTTTGCTGAACAATTCCAGAAACTTTGGCTGCATTTTCAGGAGTAACTACAGTTTGCCTAGGCCCAACATTTCCCTTTTGATCATCAGCCACGCTGCCAGTCTGTTCAAATTTCGCAAAGAGCATGTGAATGGTTTTCGCATCGGGCTCAACTGGAACATTGAATCGGTTTTGAAAACTGCGACGTATTCTCACAGGACTGTGTTCTAATTGGTGAAATTCCAGAATAAAAAAAAAACACATTGTTCAATGGAATACATTATTTCACTTTCTACGCTAGCCTCTTTTCACTAGCAACTTTCGACTTCGAAGTTCATTTTAAAGGCTATTGATAGGTCATTGCGATTAGAGCGCCATCTGATAACAATTTTCATAACTAAATTTTCTAAACTTTTGTACACCATTTTTACAGTTTTGCTAATAAACATACAGTTTACCACATAATTCTATCGATCTTTGTTGTAGAGATATTTAATTTTGAAATCAGAGCTTATTCACTGATCACCCTGTATATATTATTAATATTCTTTAATTTTCAGATTTGTTTAGTTTACTATTAATTTTTACATGTGACTAAAAGAAAGTAGGTTACTTATATTATCCAATTTGTACAACACTGTAATATTTAAAAAGCATGCTGAAATAAATTTTTAAGAATTTTTTTATGTATTGTACTCAGTTGAAAGATTTAAAATGTTGAGAAAACCAAGTGTGAAATATGTATAAAATAATTTTAACATTTTGATGAAAATGTGGTAAAAGATTTAAGTAAATTTAGAGAATAATATAAAAATTTTCACCATAAAAATATCACTATAATCATCTTTTTAATTCTGCATTGAATCAAATGATGGAGTGTAAAATTTAGTAACGTATAGTTAAGGCTTTACAGCTGTAAGATTTTTTCTTTTTATCATTGACTGATTAATAAAATTTCTGCATTGTATTTTTTAAAAGTGGTTTATTTATTTATGCCCTATTTGTTTTATGCTTATATATATATATAAGCATAAAACAAATAGGGCATAAATATATATATGAAATTTTCAATGATTTCCTATTAAAATTTCTTTAAAATGTTACATAAATAATAGGGGATTAAATTTTGTCTCTGCATTTAGATAAGATTTATTTTCTTTTAAACAGTTCAATAAATTCTATTATGTGTTTTTTATGTATATATCTGTGTGTGTGTGTGTGTATGTTACGGTGAAACACTGAAATCTGGAGAATGTCGACTTTCACCAGTGAATGTCAAAATTCATATAGTCGCTTGGTGTATGTCCGAAATATTTTCCAAATACTCTTATTTCTGACTTAAACCGGTGAATGTCGACATTCACCATGTACTAATGGTGAATGTTGAACATATAAGAATATATATTTCTTCTCCGTAATTCATTCACGAAAAACGCACTTGAGACTCAGAATAGAACTTAAGAATATAAGAACTTAAAACACACAGTACATTCAAAATGAGAAGGAAAATAATACAAGTTATAAACTTACCAAATTATGTGATTCAAATCTTATTTATTGCAACAACTTAAACTATTATGACACTTTGAATTGCACAAGAGGCCCTTGCTTTTACAACTGCATTTATTTGTGGAACACTTCCTTTTGGAACGGCAGCATGTACATATACTCCTCTCTTTTCGACCTACATCAGAGCATATCTGTGATTGTCGACATACACTGTTGAGGATCCAAATGTACAAGAATGTAAAGAAATATTCAATCTTTTACTGACGTATTTGGTGAATATTGACATTCTCCAAATTCGGTCTTTCACGGTAACATATACATATATAATTAAATCTGAATATCACATTAAGTTAAAAAAATGGAAAAGAAATAGCAGAAATATTGCAAAGACCATTTTAAAATAACTATTCAAAATAAACAAATACAAGAAAATAGAAAAGAATTTGAATTTCCGAACATATCTTCTTCAGCTAAGCCTGACCTAATAGATAGATGCTCAGTTAAAAACATAATATATATAAATTAAATAAAAAAACAAATTGTGCATCCATCAGCACAATTCCAACAGGCCGGAGCTAATATACTGCAAAAATGAAAGTTTAAACAAATAGAAATTGGAAAGCATCCTTTTATTAAATTATAATTTAGAAATGTACTGAAAATAATAATAATAATAAAGTGATTTTCAGCTGTCAAATCCAGGAATAAAAACCTGTTTCTCATAATGAGGAATGTACAAATTCATAAAACACTTAATTCAGTACAAAGAAAAATATTAGTAAACAATCAAGAATATTTTTTAATTCAAAATTATTATTACATTGAGAAAAATAAAAAAAAAAACTGACAACAAACCTTAACTTTTGGAAACCTAACATTTAAACGAGACTATAAATCAAGGGGGCGGGCTGTTATTGAAACTTACATAGGAAAAATAGTAAATAAACAGAAATAAAAACTTTTCCCTTTTCATAGAAAGCAAAGATTTATCCAAAAAATTAAACACATATCCAAAAAAGGAGAAATACTTTTTCAAAAATTAAAAATGTATTTAAAAAGTAAGGTTAGTAGTAGTAAAAGAAATAAGAGAAAATTGAAATACAGAAGATATTTATACATTTTTAGAATGATTTCAATAAAAAAAAAAAATTGTAAAGTTGATATTTTTATGGAAAAAATTCTGGCAACAACATATTATTTGAAATGAGAAATATCATCTGCTACTTTTAAATTATGTTTTTTTAAATGTTGCATGTAAACAAGCTGTGGTTTGAAGGATAATTTTTTTTATTAATTCCTGTTCCATAATTAAAAAATGTTGTAAAATGCATGGTATTAAGAATTCTAAGTGCAAAGTAAGTACCATTATTAACTGGAAAGAGGAAAACTATCAATCAGTACTTCTACATGGAAAGAAAATACCAAATGAATACCAGAAAAAGGGGTATATTATTTCTAAAATTTCTAAAGTTCAGTCATTGGTAACAAGAGAAAGGCCACTGAAGAAGAAACCAGTTGCATATGTAGCAACAATGAATAAAATAATAAATCAAGATTTACAACTCACTGGCTTTTACTGATGCATGTGGCTTAACACAGAATAATTTGTAGAACCCTATATGAAAACTATTTAGTAGGAGGTAAATGGAAAGACCCTTGATGAAATTTGGATTTATCTAAATGGCTGCGACAAAAAAAGGTATATTTATTATACAAACCTAGTTCCATCAATGCAAAGAAAGTTTTAGTAAGGGATTAATGATTGTTGCAAGCTTCTTGATTCTTTTATAATAGGAAATTAAAAATAAGAATGGAAAAATATGTTAAAATCAACCCAAGGTACTTTCAAGAGAAAGTTTTACGTCTAGTATTTACAGTAGCAATACCATTTCTTTTTTCAATGACTTTCAACTTGAAACTTCATCTAACATTCCTTGAAAAAATTAAAACTGATACAAGTATTACATATAATTATACCTATTCATCATATTCTTGCGAAGTTCCCTGACATTTCACCTATGGTGCTAGTAGTGGAAGAGGAATGGAAATCATTAGTTCTAGAAATTTTACGAAAAAAGTCCTTCTTTCATGAAAATCATGATCCAGACTTATAGTCCAGAAAAGAGGCTATCAAACCGAACATTTAAAACATTAGTTAAACAGTCTCAAAATCATTAAAAAAAATATGTAAACAGCTTCTGTAGTAAAGGAAAATGTCAGCATAAAGCCAAACAAATATATTAAAAGGTACCTAAAGCAAACTGAATATAAATTTGAACTTGTAGAACTTAAAAAATAAGCAAACTAAATTTTGCAGTATGTGATAAAAGCTGTAAATCTTCCAAAATTATTAAACTAAAAACTTATAATAAGATTACGCACACAAACATATATATGTATATATGTTTCATCAGAACCATAACAAATAGAAATATTTCTCTGAGTATATTAATTCTTAGTTTTATATCATATAAAGTTGTTTTATTTCTTGTTTTTGCCTTTGAAGCAATAGAAGATACGAATTTTATAATATTTTATATGCATTAGCCAATAAATATTTGAATTCTATAAACTAGTTTTGGTATGTATTGGATTCATTCATCTTTTTTAATAGGTCCCCTATATACTACATCAACCAGCAACCCAATCGAGGAGAACCATACGGCTGAAATTCCTAAAGTGCAACAGGAGTTTTATGGACCTCTACAGAAAAGTGCTGAGGTTTATGATCCAAACAATGGCCGAGCAATTGATCATCAAGAATCCCCTTGCAAAGTGTGGCTGCCTTATGAGTGGCAGCCTCGTATGGATCGACAATATTTGGGCACTGGTGATTTATATGGTCCATTTAGTGAGCACATTTATGAGAGTGTTGATGGGGATTATGGATTTTCTGGACATCCAAGATCCCTTGGTGGTGAATACTGCTATCGTTCAGATGTGAGTCAACATTCATCCTCTAGTTATGGATATGATCAGCGACCACTTCTCATTCTCCCTCGTCATCCTGGGCATGGGGAGTATGGAACAGGCCGACGACACTCTCCTGATAAGCATCGAAGGCGCCATAGAAACCACAGAAGGTCAGTGGATGACACAAAAACTGATAATATATCCACTGTAATTGTTGAGCAGGACAGAGTTGTTCCTGAGGAGAGAAATGATCAACAATCTGAAGAACATGAATGGAATCTTCCTGACTTATTGCGTTGTCCAGTAGATAACACTGTGGTGATGGCCGTCCTAGATGGCGAAAAAGTAGTCAGTCGTGTTCAACCTGAATGCCCTCATTATAATCTTAGTACTTACTGTTGATAATAAGCCTAATGTATATATTTCGTGTACATATAAAAATCCTGTGGCAGCCTCCATTGCACGGAGGCAAGTTTATGCTCTGCCGTAACTAGGAACTGTCAAATTTGGCCTGCTGAGCTTTTGTGATGCTATAATATTCCATAATGCCTCACTGACTGAATATGCTTTGCTTGAAGAACTATATTGTCTAAAAGCTCAATGATAAAAAAAAAAAAAAAAAAAAAAAAAAAAAAAGAATCTATTTATTTTACAGTGTAGTCAACTCTACAAGGAAACTTTTTCTTGTTAACTATATAAATTGAAAGTATATTTCTCCTTCAGTGTGCATCTCTAGTTACGGCTCTGCATCCAGGGCAGCTAGTCGTACAGGGCCTAGTCCGGCTTGTATTTTTCATTTTTTTAAGAAAGAAAAATGCATTATTATAATATGATGGGAACTCAAAGGCTATTCCTGTTGTGTTGTATGTCTTAATTTAATTATTAAATTTCATATGTGGGAATGGCTATTTGGGAATGCTTTCCTGAATATGTGATAGTTTTTTTTTAAAATTAACTTAAGTACTTTGAACTGTTTCTGCATCCTGAAATGCCTAAACTTTGTGCCATTATATACACTACTGAAGTTCCAGACATCATCTAGAAAATTTTGTGAAGTTAGAAAATAAAGAGCTGGCTTTCATATAAATTCACAGTACATATTTCTTTTGTATTTGACAATGAATTGGGAATTCATTTCTGCATAACTAATTGTATCCATTTTGTGTATTTTAAATTGAAAATGTGAAATTGTTTTCCTTTCATTCATCAATGAATAAAATTTATTATCTATGAAAAAATAAAGCAAGACATGTAACAACATTATTAGTCACTAAATGCTGGATCACGCACTTCAGTTGTTCATCAATAAATGTGTTTGTCAGTTTTTTTGCCTGTAGTTAATGTTCTGAATGTTCTATTTAATTGTTGAAATCAGCTGCAGAGCATTTTTCTTTTTCTTCTTAATGTAATTTACTTATTACAAAGTAATTCATGAATGGAAACAGATTTATTAATGTGAAATATAAGGACAATCCGATGATGTAAATTTTTATAACCAGCGTCAAGTAATATGCTGTCTTTGTAATTAAAGGTTATAGGCTTGTTATATTTTATTAAAATGCTTATTCATAACTTTGTTAGAAACAACAGTACATTATCAATTTAGTATCACTCAAATGTAAAATAGCAAAAATAAGTCAAGATAAAAATTATAAATTCTTAATTATTCTAATCTCTATATCTATTTAATTCCAATTAATAGGTAGTAGTTTTTGTATGGCACGTAAATGTCATTTTTTCATAGCTATTGTTTTGTTCTGTGATTTTTGGAAATGAAGTCTATCCAAATAAAGCATGATTGTACTCCTAAAGTGGTTCATTTAAGTGATGAAAATATGTTCCTTTCCTTGTACATTCATTTTGCTGTTTAATGTGATATGCAGTTTCTATGTAAATGTGTTAAGCTGTGATTTTGTTCACAGTGAAAAATATTGATTATGTGGAATAATTAAATGTACTTTCATGCCAATATCATTTATTGGACAGTTAACCATATGGTTTTGATTTCATCGATTTATTGCCGTCATTGTGATTAAGTTTTTTAAGGTTATATGGAAGCTGTTCATATTGTGTCAGAGAAAATAAATTTTGAAAATTAAAACATGTAGTGATTTTTTTTGTGTTTACTTGTACATTTGAATAAGCCCATTATTATGAGCAATTTCAAATAACTCAAAATTTATTTCTGTTAACAGCAATAAAATACTAGTTAAAGTGACTTATTTGGCTAATCTTTAGAATATGGTAACAGGTAGTTTGGCGACATTTTGGTAAGGTGATAAAGGCTAGGACTTTAGCAATAATCTGAGAAGACCAGTTTGAACACAGATTATTTTGTCACCGACAGAGTCGTAGCTAGGGTTTCAGCGCCAGGGACAACTTAAGTTTCGTGCTCCTACCGCTTGCCAAGGATGGAAACATTTTATTGTAAATGTCGTAACATCATTTGGTGCCCCTTCGATTCGCTCCAGGGACAGATCCCCCCCCGTTGCCCCCCCTCAGCACACCCTGGTCTCAAGAAATGAGAGATCAGAATTGTAATGTGACATTTTCCCGGAAATTCCATCGGATTTAGCTTAGGACTTAAAACATTTCGTGCTAAGTGAGAATCACCCACTTATTGTTTGTGCTATTTACAAGATAGAATTGATTTTGTCAATTTCTGTGACTTTTAAGTGAAATGCGATTTACCTAGATAAGTCAAGAGTGTCACATGCCATTTTTGCAATTCTGGAATGTTTTTTTAAGTGAAATATGTCGACGTACAGGTACTGTGTCTGCAATTCTTAAACGCGCAAGCAGTTTGCATTCTGCACTTTCCTCCATTTCCACCTAATCTTCTCATGATAAGCATTTTTGTTCCAAAAGTTCTAGTATAAGCGTATTCGGCTCAGATGTTGGAAAAAATTTTGAGTTAAAAAAAAACTGCTTTACTTCGTGAAAACAAAATTGCGTCCAAAACAAAACTAGCAGGGTTGGTCACCAAAAAATTGCCAAGTTACCATAATGTAAAGATTCACCACTTATTTATTTATTTATTATTTTTTTTACCTAATCTAGTTAACCTTTATAAAAGTTGCACAAAAAAACACAGTTAGGAAGTTGCACAGTTAAAAAGTTTATAAATATATGTAGCTATATCTGAAATTTTTTAGTTGCACGTGGGTTTTTAAATTTATACTCACAGAATTTTAGAAGTGTTCGAAGTAGTCTCCTCCAGCACCAATGCACTTCTGTAGGCAAAAGATTAAATGCCTCAAGCCATTCATTTCTTGGAATCGATAAGAAATGAATTTATAGCCTCATCAATCTCGTCTTCGGAATGAAAACAACTTCCACTTGAGTTCTTTGTTAGATTAAAAAATAACCAAAAATCACACATAGCTAGATTGGGTTGAATAAGGCAGATGTTCTATCACTTTGATGTGTTTCTGTTCAAGAAACTCAACTGTCATAACTGTCAGTCTTGCTGAATGAGAGGATGCATTGTCATATTGGAGCATGAAGCCTTCTTAACATTCATATCTTGAAAAATTCCTGGAAGACACTTAGTTGTGTACGAGCTAGCTATAACTGTCTTCTGTCCTTTGAGCTTTACCAGTTTTGTACTTCTGAAAAAAAAAAAAAAAAAAAAAAAACGCATGCATTATGTTTTTCAAAGCATGTATTCTTTTCACCATTGTGGGCTTATCTTCAAAGACCCATACCAGTGGCGTAAATAAGGGTAAGCAAGGAGTGCTATCACGTAGGGGACTGAAGGCTTAACCCTTTGAGGTTCGGTGCATAATTTTTTTTTTTTTTTTTATTGTGAACTTTACACATAGATAACTAGCCTCTAATACAATGTTATTTCATGCCCTGCAAAAAAATCAGGTAAACCTTTAACATAACATGGTGGGATATTGCTTGTCTCACTGCTTACTTAGAGCAGTAAAATGACATCTTTGCCAGAGCATAAATTCTCCTAACATGCTTATCTAAAGTGCTAGTTTTAGCAACCAAATGAAAATGCAAGATATGAAAAACGTTCTTGAATAGTTATCTACAAAATATTGATCATATTCGAAAAAAAATTGCTCTCCATATAACTTTTTAGATATTTTTAATGATTATAATCATTTGAACAAGAAATTTTCGCTCAGTACTTTATTTGCTACAGTTTGAAAGGAAGATATTTAGGTCATCATGATTTACTTCACTCCCTCCATTTGGTTAGATATTTTCTATGTGAATCATACATATAAATTCAGTATTAATGACATTCAGAGTATTTTCATTTTTTTCGGAAAAAATGATAAATATTTTCAAGTTTTCATATTGCATTATTAAAAATATAAATTTCCAAATCAATATCCAAAACGAACATGAACTTGAATTAAAATCTTGAACGATGCTGCCATCTAGTAGCAGCAATTCTACATGCGCAGGGGACGTATTTGGTCCACATTTATTTCAACCATTTAGTATATATAAGTCAAATAATTTTTTAGAAAAGAAAACTTTCACATAAAATATTCATTCTAGCATCAAAAGTGTTGTTCAGGACAATTTCAATAATTATAGAAAAAAAAAAAAAAACGCTTCAAATTACCTTCAAAAAATTTTGATTTTACATTATTTACGTGAATGAATACTAGTGCTGCCATCTGTTATACATTTAGAGAACTAAAAGGCGTAATTGTATGTATTTTAAATGGAATTTTGCAGCTTAGATCTGAGAGATAAAAACTGATATAAAAAAACGCGTCCCACCGCCAGTAAAAGCGTTAAGGGGCCCTTCAACGTACTACTAAACTATGTTTAAACTTTAAAGAAGATCGATTTTATACAACAGAATCTGCCTTCTTTAAAGTTTTTAACTGTCCTCTACCTCTTTCATATACATATGAGGCAGACAGAGGGTCCTTGGAAGCAAGGCACTACAATGAAAATACAAAGCAAAAAGCAATGCACTAAAAAAATTTTATCAAAAAGGAAAGAAAGCTACTGTCATAAAAATGCAAGAAAGAAAAATGAGCAGCGATATGGCTTAAAAAATGAGATTATCGAAACTCAAATGAAAAAGAAGATTTTATACCACAAAAATGCAAGGAGATTGAGTTAATATATATGTATCAGCTAAAACTATTACTCGATTTTCATACAAAAATGTATGCGAATTGCCTATTTTGTGCGTGAAACAAACGGCCAAAAATTATTTTCGTGTATAAATTAAAACTGTTGCAACCCATGTAATTCTAAACTGTATTCAGTTTGAAAAACAAACTAAAACTGATTAGAATATGTACTGATGTTTGGAGTACCTAGTAAATATGTGCTACTAAAGCCTCTTTTTAGTACAAGCCAGGGTTTGCAAAAGGTAATGTTCCATCATTCGAATATGAAATAGCAACTTCGTGGGTTCCACCAGTTTAGGAATGCGTGTCAGCAGAAAATGGAAAACGTTCCTTTGCATTCGCCAGTATCTTACCTGAAAATTAACAATCTCCCAAAGGAAATTTACTCTTTCGTTTTCTTT